CTAGAACTAATCTAAAGCACATCAAGTGTGCCAAAGGTAGTAATAGTTAGTATCATAGATAGGTTAGCATTAATTTATAGATTTATTTTGTAAAGATGTTTGATGTAACTCGGATATCAATATATATCAATAAAGTCTTGTATCTGATGCCTTTTTACAATTAAAAAAAAAAAAAAAAAAAAAAAAAAAAATTAAAAATAATAATTACTTTAGTAAAATTTATTTTTGATTATGTTTATTTTTAAGTTTAGAAAAGAATTATAATTTTTTGTTTCAGTTTTTATAAATAATAACATAAAATTGTTTAAAATATGTTAAAAAAATAGAAAACTTTATGTTAAAAGAATTAAACTTGTAAATTGTATTTAAAAGTACTTGAAAATTTTTTATTTTTTAAATATTGTTATTATAAAAAATTTTTTTTTGTAAAAAAATAATTAATGGAAAAAGGGTTATCAAATATAAACAAAAAAATAATAATTAATAACTAAAAATTACTAATTAATATTTAAAAAGTTATTTAAAAAAATTATTAAAAAAAATAATACTTAAAAATAATACTTTTTTTAAAAAATTACTAAAATAATGATTATTAAAAAAATATATTCAAAAAATATATATTGAAATTATACAGTATATTAAATATATATATATTTTCTTTAAAATAACTTTTATTTTAAAATTTATCATATTTTATTATTATTACTGTATATTATTATTCGTTTTTTATTATATTTTTATTAATAAATTAAATTATTATTATTATATTAAAACTATTTTCAATTAAGTAATTGAATGTATAAAATATTCTGTTTAAAGAATATAACATTAAAAATTCAATAAGCTATAATGTATATAGCATTTTTACCTTTACATAGCCACGTTTTTGTGCAATTACATAATATGCGTGTAACAAACTGTGATTAAAAATATTACTGGCAAAACAAAAATATCAAAATTTTTTTGTAATGTGATGGTAAGAATCTTGGCTTGAACTATTTTAAATATCTTGCTCGTAATAAATTACAATCATATGTAGCGATGGCTGGAGCTTTGAACAGACATTTCTCTACAAAGCACGAGTTTTCTTGTCTAATCAAAAGGCAGTTATTTACACGAAAGAATTCTTCTCTTCACACTCCAACCTCAGCGGTGAATATGACTCCAATTAGTCAAGTTGAGGTAGCAATGAGTAAAAGTGAAGCCTTAGGAAGGGCTAAACGTATTGATCAAAGTTTACAATATAAATTAAGAGACAAGACAAGGTTGTTTATTGATTTCATGCGCATCAAAGTTAAAGGGGGTCGCGGGGG